AGTAAGGGAAAATGTTTAAAAATGCAAAAATCGATAGATAACGCCTTAAGGATCAAATTTTTTCTTACATCCAACAATAGGCTAAATATCTTCATTTAGGTGTTGGATCTGAAAACTTTATAAAATCGTATGCAGAAGTATTTGAAATTGTAAAAATTAATAAATAGTCCTTATTGATCAAAATTTTACTAATTTCCAATTAAATGATGAAAAGATAACTGAAATATCTACACCATGCGTTAAGAATTTTATTTCCAACTTAATGATGAAACTAGTGTGTATGATGGCATCGTGCATTGAGGCAATTGCTGAAACTTCCCGTACCGAGTTAAAATTTTGAAAATCCAATTTATTTTCGATATTAAAGAATTTTTTTTTTGAGAAATTAAAAAAAAATGAAATAAAGATTACAAATACAATAATTTCGTCAACACAAGCAGGATGCTTAATTCTCTCAAAAACTGCCGTTTTTTGCACATTTTGCTCCGTATCTCCAAAACGGTTGAACCTGTCTTTGCCAAAATCTAATAACCACTTCTCCACATCATTACGAATTGAATGTTTTTGGGAAAGAAAAATAAATCTTTTGTTCAAAAAGCTCCATAAAATAGTAGGTAAAATTTATTTAAATATGAATTTCAATGAACCAACCCCAAAGGATTTCAATTCTCACCAACAAATGGAAGAAATATCTACATTTTGCTATTGGATCTGGAAATTCCATTAGAGTATGTAAAAATATTTAAAATTACAAAATCCATTAATTACTTCTCAACGATAAATTTTTCTAATTTAGATTAACATGTAAAAATGATTCAATTTGCAAGTATCAATAATCACGCCTTAAGTATCAAATTTTCACTAAAATACAGTTCTGGTGGATCATCAGAGGTGATCAGAAGGTAAATATTATATTAATTTTGATAAATTGCAAGAGTGAGAAAGTGATTTGGAATAATTATAAAATAATTAAAATATTTGCTGTCGGCAAGATAATCTACAAGGCATTCTACTAGAACGTTTATTGCTGTTGCACTTGATTATTTAATATAGATTTACGTTCTTTGATAAAAATGTTAAACATGCCGCATATATATTATATATATATATATATATATATATATATATATATTATAAAGTTAATGTAATTGATCGAGGGCAAGGTAAACATGAGTATTTTGATACGACTCCTTGTCAGAATAAATCATATCGTATCATATAAAAAATGGATACATTTTACAGTCACGATCGTATTAAAAAATTGCATTGCTCTCATTTTACGACATGCTTAAATACTTAAACGTTATTGTTTATTAATTAATACAGTAATTGTTAATTTCACGAAAATAGCTATTAAATGAAGGTAATCTTGTAATAAGTATAGCACATGTTAGTAAAGGATAAGATATAGTTGGTAAAGGATATTTTATAAGATTCTTCAACATGGTAGGTATAGGATATTCTATAAGATTTCTTTTTAAATATATAAATCTGCAATTTTTTATCATAAATTTATTTGTTATATGATAACCGAACAATATTTTCACGTTCAACATGATAGACCACATTTTGCAACTCTAAGGAGTATCTACCATTCAAAAAGGAGTTATTTCCCAAAATGATTTCTAGAAGATGATGTCTGATATCTTTTGCACTAAATTAATTTATGGCTTTTGGCAATCATGTCACAATCCCAAAAATTATTGATTTTATTGACTGGTAACTAAAATATATATGTCCTGCCTACTGGATGGTGAATTGATCCTAATGGAATTAATGTCTGCATATCCTACCACATTGATCCTAATGGAATCAATGTCTGCATAGCCTACTGAATTAATCCTAATGGAATCAATTTCTGAATATCCTATTGAATTGATTCTAATGGAATCAATTTCTGCATATCCTACTGAATTGATCCTAATGGAATCAATTTCTGCATATTCTACTGAATGATCCTAATGAAATCAATTTCTGCATATTCTACTGAATGATCCTAATGAAATCAATTTTTGCATAACCTATTGAATTGATTCTAATGGAATCAATTTCTGCAGATCCTACTAAATTGATCGTAATGGAAACGATTTCAGCATATCCTACTGAATTAATCCTAATGGAATCAATTTCTGCATATCCAACTGAATTGATCCTAGTAAAATCAATTCGTGCATATCCAACTGATTAGATCCTAATGGAATCAATTTCTGCATATCCTACTGAATTAATCATAATAGAATCAATTTCTGCACATCTAACAAGATTCTACCATTATTGAAAAGATATTTCCAAAAATTAATTTTTGACAAAAAGCTTTATTAATGGTCACCCAGTAAGATAGAGTTGGTGATGATGAGGATATTTTTGTAGGATCACCTAAAGCATCAAATTTAATCATAAACCAAAAACACGTCTTGTATTTAAAAAAACGAGAGAGAAGACATATTTCGCCTTATTGAAAAACCATGAAAAATTTTGCAATCACGTTGACTACTTTTAAAAACTGAATCACTACCACATAAATACTTTTTATAAAGTCCTTCTTAACTTGACAATCACTGCTTCAGACATTCATAATTCCCCTAGACAAAATATATCGATTTATTGATTGATAATGATAAATCATATTGTCTTTTAATCTAAAACAATTTAAAAGAACATTCGCAACTCTATTTAATAACACTTCAATTAGTTTGTTGTTAAACACACGATAATAAAAGATTTATAGACGGTAATTTACCGAGATAATTACTGATATTAATATTTGAAAAAAAATCTGCAAATAACTAGTTAGATCAAAGAGTAAAACGCAGTTTCCTATAATTTGATAAATTGAAGATAATTGTATACATTCACGTAGAAACATAAATTATAATATGAAAATATATGCAGCAAAATTTACCAGCTCCAATTTTCTTTGACAAAATTAGCAATTGGATCTACATCATTTAGTCAACAAAATGAAGATAAATAACAATACAAAATTGCAAACGTACAAAAATACATAAATATTTAAACAATATAATAATTTATGTCAATGTCTTGTGTAATATGTATTAAAACAAGTATCCAAGAGAATGTGGCGTGATTGAAGGAATTCCTTACTTTTTATGCGAATATTTCTCGTTTTATGATATCTCAGCATGTCACAATATAAGAAACATATTTATTTTATCCATATGTATCAAGATTGCTATTGTTTTGCACCGAGAGTAGTCCTTGAGCGATCAATAAATTAATTGGAATGTCTACATTTATCACAGTCAATAAAATCCTAACTCTTATAAATTTCTAAATGATAATAAATGATTAAATAATTGTTTTTATTAGATTGTTGTCTGAAATTGTTACAAAACATGCTATGGAATAAATATCCGTCATCAAGTACGAATTTGCATTGGTCAATGAACTTTAAAATATTCACAATAATATTATCTTTCTATTATTCGCCGTGAAATTCTCATAAATTCTATTACTTTAAAAAAATAAATTGATAGGTAACCCAGATTGAAGAAACGCGTACGTCTCAATCTAGAATAAAAAACAAAAATTGCGATCAAATCAATTATGTACGCACCAAAAAGTGATCTCGTTAGAGTTCTAATGTTTTGTTAAAGAAGCCGTTATTTTTATTTGTAATTCTCCGTTGCTTTTTGTGAAAAGATATATTAAGAACTTGAGCAGTTTTCATAGATGTGTTCAAGAATTCAGAAATGTTTTTGAAAAAAAAACAACTCAAAAATAAAATAGTTAAAGTTTTCACCCAATCCGATTCGTTTCCCAAAAATTAATTTCTTCTATTAAGTGGTCTTCCCAAATCGTATTTCTTCTTGACCATAGTAAAGACCAAACAGAAAATTTATGTTATTTCCACAATACGAAATACGGACACATTCAAATATTTACAAAAGCCACATCAAGGATCATCCAAACCCGCTTGCAAAGGAACTTTGCTACATTACCAAGGCAAGATTAGAAAAATCATATTACATATAATAGATCAATTTTCAAAATATTTGACGATGGTCAGAAGGTTTTGTATTTTTAAGTAATATTTTTTCTTACAGTTTTATTTATTGTCCATTTCAGGACAGGTGTAAAAATTATTATATAATTTTTTATTTCATAAAATCGGCTTTGTTAAATTATCAAAAAATTCTGTATCATTTGATCAAAATTATTTTAATAAAAGTCAAAGGAATAATCATAAACAACGACTAATTTATAAGCAATTTTGAATTTTATTGGATTTCTATGCAATTTGGAACTCAAAATACTCAATATAACTAAAATTTGTGAAAGATTTAAAAAATCCATTGAAATTCTATTGATGATAGATTTTGTATTAAGCTCTAGATTTGATGTATATAAGAGAAATCTAAAAGATTTATAATCAAAATGTTTTTTGTTTTGAAAAATATACAATTCAATCAGCGGTCAGGGAACTGTTTTAACCATTACCCCCAAATATTTTTGTTGAATCGAAAAACCTCCTTTTATCATCTTTTAGAATATGACCTCCTAATGAAAATTTTGAAAAAACAACAGCTAAAAATTAAAACTAAACAAAATTAAATTTTTATCTAAATTTTACTAAAGCTTTCTTAGTGCATTGTCTAAAATTTAAATTCAAAAATTTCCATTTTATTCCATTTGGGGTATTTTTTCCCATATTGTTTTTTTTTAACATTCCCAACTTTTCCAACTCCCATTTTTTACATTCCCAAAATTTCCATTTTATTCCATTTGGGGTATTTTTCCCCATATTGTATTTTTTTTATTTGCCCCATATTGCATATTTTTTAAATCTATGACCTCAAAAGCAATTTTTCGAATTTCGAATATATATTGTCAATATGAATTTTTTTGTCACTTACCCATTGCGGTTCCTAGGTTGTCTCGGTTGCAAAGGAGGCGGCGGTGGAGACCTCTGCTCCGGTTTAGCCTGAAGCGGTATCACCGGAAACCGGTTTGTGTCTCACAGAAGCTCTGACGTCCGCTAACCGATGCTCGAAGTGACTGCCCCTGGCATTTGCAAAACTGTTCCGTCTTGAAGGTTGCACTGTTGGACTTCTCTTAGGCGTACTTTTATTAACAACTTGGTTCGTGTCCCAGCAATCTAACACATTCGGAGGAGGCGGCGGGAAAGGTTCGTCTTCTATACAAATTTCTCTTCTATCACCGTCGGGGGACTTGGTAAAGGCGGTTCTGGGCTAGTTTTACCGATTTGATAAATACTTCTCAAGCCGGATTTTTTGGAGGCCTTTGAGGCACCCAGTTATCCACAGTTATAGATGGACCTAGCACAACTGGTCCTTTTAATTTAGGAGTCAGCGTACATGTATGAATTATATTAACGCCAATGCAGGCTTTGCAGGAGGAGGTTTGATCGTACTGTGGTAGCACCAGTGGAGGTGCATCATGAGGAATGCTAGATTGACGTCCATGGTTCGGTATTAGATTTTCTGGTGAATGTGGCTGTTTGGGCTCAGTACGCGTTGATGACTTTTGTTCTTGACCATTAGAATCGCGCCAACCGGAGTATTCTGAAGCAGTGGAAGCTCTGGAAAAACAAACAAGGGTCATAAGCGTAACGATTTCATTAAATTGTAAAAATATGTCGGCCGTTATTTTTTTTGTTTTATTATTTTATTAATTTTATTAATTAATTGTTATTTTACCTCCTCGAGGTGCTGCTAAAACTTTGCGACGAAGAATGCGTCCTGGGTCTCATAGTCATAGCCTGATTGACTGAGGTGGCGCCTGCAAAGGCCTTGCCAAATGCGGTTCACTTCTCCAGGAGTCCTTTCCTGAACCCACCTGCCTTCCACTAGGATCATTTCCATTAATCACATTCACATTATTACTAACAATCGATTCATTTCTGAATGATTCGTCGGTGATGTGTTTTGATTTTGACCAGTGCTGGAAATTGTGTTCTTGCCGTTGTTGGAGTTATGTCTTTCGTAAAATGAAAGCAAAGCTTTTTTCTGAATAGCTTTTAAAGCAGGGTCTGAGATTTTGTGACGTTTGGATGGTCCTAGAAAAGAATATCTGGTCGATTGTTGCCGCTCAAGTTCATTTATGCGTTCGGCAACACTTGGTTGAACTTGGTGGGAGGTGATCTTGGAGCTCTAGGAAAAAAACAAATATATAAAACAAATTGCAACAAATACCTACTTTACACTTATTTATCAATTCCTTACTTATTCTCCTGACCATTCGTAGTAGGTTTAACCATATACGTGCTAACTGGAAACAATTTGGAGTTCTGTCGATCCAATCTGGTCCTAGGTTTTGTCGGTTCTTCAGGAGCACCATTAGCTGGTGCTCCATTAAAAACAAAATGCTTTCTGAATTGTGTCTTTGTGGAGTTTTAACTCTGGCACTATGTGCATGTGAGATCTTGAAGTTGCTGTAAAATAATATTTATAATAAAATAGTAAATATATAAAGAATGACTAACTTTTTGTGTTTCATCAATAAGCATTTAGTGATAAAAAAGCATACTAATTGATGTAAAATAAAATGTTTAGTTTTTTTTTTTAATTTTTACCTGTTCCCATGGAACTGCTGGCAACAGAGACGTCACTCATGGACCCATGCCATTTTAAAGTTTCACTAGAACTGCCCGAATTTGAAGTGACGACACTATCGCTGCAAGAATGAATTGTTGCCACACTGTCACGTCCTTCCCTAGAAACATTTTCTCCAGATAAGGTATTTAAGGCACTGTCTCTTCTTAACCTGGAAAAATTATAAAAGAGAAAAAAATCAGTATTTAATTTTAAGCAAAACAAAACAATTGCAAATATTTCCAATATTCCTACCTGTCAAGAAAAGGAGTGGACATACTATCCGTACTGGAGACATAACTATGATATCCTTCAGATTGGGCATATGATGATTGTTTAACGTGTTGGGTTGCAAGGACCTCATCGTAGGTCCTCGTGTATTCTTCCAACTCGGCCCTGGTCAACTGGGAACTGGTCGGAGAAAACTTTCCGGTATCCTATTACACAAAAATAATTATACTTGCTAAAATCAATATTAATATGAGTGGATATAAATTAAATCAGCATCAATATCATTATCATAAAAGAAAACAAATAAATCACTTATTTTATTTTTTCACATGGCTATAAATCAATCGAGAGACGCTTCATATTAATTCAACCCAAATTTAGCACTTCTACATCAAACATAAATCAAATATTCAAATTTTTCGCTGATATTGTCTTAACACCTTTCTATTATCTTTGAATTTAAATTTTGCCCGCAAAAATTTAAATCTGTGTTAATTGGAGATATTGTTTCCGACTTTGTGATAAATGCAGTTCCGTCACAATAAATTACAAAGAGACATTTCCATATTTTACCTCCCAGCTATCTCACCTTGATCATATTTGCTAAATTATTCGTATAATAAAACAATCGCGTTGTAAATTTGTGTCACTATTTGAAAATTGAATTTCTCGAATTTGATTTAAATTTATTCGGAATATTACTAATTGCTTATAATGATTTTTAAATTTCAAATGTGTGTTGATGAAATCAATTTGACGGTTTTCTTTATTGATGCGAAATTTATTATAATTTGTTTATTGATCGCTATCTGCGTCATTTGATACTCGTTGTTCCAAATTGGAATGATACATTGTATATCTTCTATAATTTTTAAAACATTTGATTGATTGATTAATGATGTGAACATACCTAACGACTCTATACACCAGAATCTTATTAGATAAAATACTTTTTTCTTCCATGTACAATAACATAATTTGCTTTTATTCAAATTGCACACAAGAGTTAAGCATTAAGTATAAATCGTATAACTGAACAATTGTAGAAACTTAACCAAAAATTACCATTTTACTCTATTGCTACAACGTCAGATCATCTCCCAAATATAATATTAGAATCTTATATGACGTGCATCGAAATTCTGAATCTAGTCCAAAATTAAAATTCTATATACCAGCACTACGATGTCCTGGTAGAATCAATAAAATTCCTACCTGTGAAATAGTGGATTCTGCATATGACGTATTATAGGACTCCAAATCCTTTTTGGACAATCCTCGTAACGACATCTGATCAGTATCACGTTCAGGTGGGCTGCTGCTTCTTTTTTCAGGTTCATCATGAATAGGTATTAGCCTGGTACTATCAAATTGCTCATAAGTTGAAGAGATGCCTTCAGAAGTAGTTGTGACGATACGACTCTGCTCCGATCTTTCCATCACCGTTTTCAGGTGCTAAAAAGAAAACATCGTCAAAAAAAGTAACTATCTGGTAAAGATGATGCCTTCCATTATCTCAAAAAACTGAAAATCTGGTGACGTGTTGAGATAGGATTTTCTATTATTTTTCTACCTGGGTGTTGGATCCCACAGAAGCGGCGTGCGACCTCTTCATGTAGGGCCTCATTGGAATTGGTGCTTGTTCCTTCGGGTAGTTGGTGTGGTCCGTCCAGCTTTTGGAACGATGTGACCCTCCTGTAACAGGGCCTCTGACTGCCAATGGTATATCGGCTGCGGCCGCCGTCGGCCACGACGGATATTTCTCATGACCTGCGCCACTGTAATTCACACCTGGAAGAAGAAATTTAAATTAAAAATAGTAATTGAAATTAAGTAAATATATTTTTTATGTGTGCGTATTTGTAATAATTTTTTTAGGGCACGATGAAAAATAACTGTTTAAATGTAATAAAACAGGAATTGGGCCAGAAACAAAACTCCCACATCACTTTGACATATTGATTTGCTATGCTTTCATTTCATGTTGTCATTATAAAATACACGATGGTGATTTACAGCTTTGGAACTATATAAATATAAAAAACCGTGTTTTTATAAAACAAACATTTTAAACTAAAAATTACTATATTCAGAAATTTTTGGATTGATTACCAGAGTAATTTATTATTTTACGATGGAAACATTAAATTATACTCTTTTCTTTATGTAAGCTGTAGTAATATATATTTAGAAATATATATATTAGGAATTTTGGAATTTATATTATAAATATATATAATATAAAATATAATATTATTTATAATGCAATATATAAAATCTTAAACCTTTTAAAGTTGCAGAGTCTCGAACAGGTGGGCTATTTTTGTACAGAGGTGCCATACATTGACGATTGTGTTTGGGAAGTCCCTAAAAAAAACAAAAAAAAAAACAGATTAATAATATTATATAAACAATTATCAAACATTGAATAAAGTTCAAATTTGTAAATTTATAAATTACTGATTAATTTAATTTATTACAAGTTACTAACTATGTATATCAGTAGATATAGTCATTCTTGTACTATTATTTTAATGTTGATAGCCAAAAAAGTAAAATAATAGAAAAGTAACTGTTTGACATATCGATAAAGTTAATTACAGTTAAAATTTAAAATTAATAGTTAATAAAAAATTAATATAAATCTCTTTCTCAAATTTCTTCAATTCAAATATAGATTTTTTTTGCTTTACTTAAGATATCTTCAAATTGAATTTAAAGTATGATGTAAAATCCAAAAAATAGCAAATACTAAAAAATCACTACTGGTTAAAAATGTGGAAGAAAATTGAACCCCGTAGGAATAATATAAAAGGCATTTACTAGAATATAATAGAATTAATTTATTATTAAAAAAACATTAATTAACTAAGATTTCAATATTAATTTAGGCTTGTAATTTAATTCAAGCAAGACAAAAATTTTGAAACAAACGTATACACTTTTTACAAGGTATTTCTGATGAAATCATGAGAATTTTATAAAAATTGTTATTATTATTTTAGACCATTTAAATTTTTTTTAGTGCTGTATCAAATCAAACATATCACATATATGCACGTGTTAATTAACTTAAATCTGTAAAATATTAAATAACTCCAACATCCATGCCAAATTGTATAAATTAAAAAAGCCAATGTCTTAATTAACTTAATTCCCAATCCGTAATTTATGGGATGATCTAATACTGATTTTCATAATAAAAGCATATAAACGAAACATCATCTCGTTAAATAACTGTAAAAGTTTATATCTGTTTTGAACTATATCATTTCATATGGAATTCGTGTCTATGATCGATTTATTGACAAGAAGAAGAACATTTACGTTCTTAATTGACGTTTATACCGAAATTTACGACTAGCAGAAGATGTAAAATTTAGATCACGTTTTAAATCGGAATCAAAATCATTTTTCGATTGCTACAGAGATGAATTCATATAATAAAATATAATATCATTGAAAAATTTTATTTTTCAAAAAATAGGAGCATTTTTTGAATTTTTGGTAAATTTTCATAAACTGAATTATTCATCAAAATTATTATATTTCAATATATCACTGATTAAATCTAATATTAAATTTTAATTTTACAGTTTTCTCACGATATCTATTTTGATTGCATAATTAATTTCCTGGTACGGTCCTCGTCTCTATTGTAAATATTACTTTTAGCGCTCATGTGT